AGCAGGTCTCTGCATATCTCTTTAATGTGTCTATAAAGTCAAAGTCTGGCCGATTTGTTAGGCATAGACCCGGGACCGGTGGGAAGATGACTGGCAATGACGTTTGAGAGCCTGTCTTCCCGAGAAGACAGACCCTGCCAGCTGGCCCTTGAATGTAAGACTGATTCCTGCATGAGGAATCCTTTGTTATAACTACCTATTTCTGCTTTGAGACAATCCATACGTTACAACCTTATAGACACTGTTACAACCTTATAGACACTGTTACAACTGCTTACAACCTTATAGACACTGTTACAAACTCCAATTGGTTTTCAGAGCTATCATCCCCAGTCACCCAGTTCCTCAGGCTAAGAATCTAGGCATCACCCTTGACCCCTCTCTTTCCCCTTCTTTCCATATCCAACCCATCACCAGGTTCTTTTGGCTCCAAATCCGCTCGCTTCTCTCTATTTTGAAGATCATCAAAGTAGCCCAAGTTACATCCCCGTCCATGCCTCAGTGGTCTCCTAACTGGTCTCTCTACTTCCGCTTTGGCCCTTTCAGTCTATTCTGTAAGGTGGAATAATCTTTTAAAAATATCAATCAAACAGAAAAGGGAAATTGCAGAACCTCTCACTCTGGCTTCCAGAAAATCTGTAGTTCATCCCCATCTCCCACACACTTTATGGTGAAGCTTTTGCTGATCCCTGGATCCCTAAGGCAGAGTTTCTCACATTTGATAACCAGAATCCTGGGGTGAAAGAAGTCAATTTCCCAAAGCTGAGGACACTGGATACGGGATGGCTAAGATTACCTAAGGAAAAATGTGGGTGGGAGTTCAGACTATTATTTAGTTAGCATCACAATGGAAGATTCCAACCTAAGGATATCCTGAGGGCATTGGTTGACCTTAGAGAAAGGGAGTAGGAAAATCATGGCTGGTGAGATAAAAAGGCACCAAAGGTCAGTGCCAACACTGCAACAATTGGCCAGTGTTGACAGCAAATGGATGGCAATCTACAATAGATGGCAAACACAGCCATGAATTACTCCCTCTCTGTACTCATGCCTCTTGGGAATGTGGATTTGCAGCTACTCTCATCAAGATGCTGAGTCCATTTCTCCAACCCTTGAATCTGACTGGGCCACGTGACTTGCTTTGGACAGTAAGATCGTGGAAACATGATCAAGCAGAGACTCCAAAAGTGCTGACTTATTGTAGTTTGCCTTCTCTTTCTGCTTTTCGGAACCTTACAACTGCCCTGGACTAGCCTACTAGATGAGGGACACAAGGGCCTGTTATCCCTGTCCCCTTGGTCTGCCCAAGAGCTTGGTGACTACCAGACATGTCTGTGAGGCTACCCAAGATTATCCAGTTGCATCCTGAACCACCAGCCTACCACACATGCATGAGTGAGTCTGGCTGAGATTAGCCAAGTTGATCCAGACCCAAAGACTGCCCAACTGACCCAGAAAACCAAGAGCCAACTAAACGGTTGATGTTTTAGGCTCCTAAATTGTGGGGTGGTTTGCTAAACCAGCAGAAGCTCAAACGATTTAATCAATTTCTATGGATAAGGGAGTAGAGGCAGGGCTATGTGAGGAATGGAGTGATCAGTCTGTTGAATTTGTCGGTTATAGTGAGGCCACCAGCAGCAGGGAGATTAGGGAACTGAATGAGGAATGAATTACGTCCACGTTCCTCCTCCCCAATCCTCTCTTGGGCTGAAGAGAGGGGCAGAGAAACAATCAGGGAGGCTACAACCCGCTGTTCTGGTGTGTCCACGCTGTAGCAAGTAGCACATAAGAAACCTCACCAAGTCCGGATCAATCAGGATATTCTAATTCTCTTCCTCTTAGCTGTTTAGCTACATCACAAGAAGAAGGCATAGAGGGTCGAGAGAAATGAGAGAGCAGAGGAAATGAAGGGAAAATAAGAAATGTGGTTGAAAATGTTTTGCTCTTGTGCAGATGGCGACTGACTGACGGCACAGGAGAGACCCAGCCCTCCTCCCCCAAGCCTGGCCTGCCTAGCCCCGAGCAGCCTCTCACCATGGCTGGTCCTGGAGTTGCTGGGGTAAAGGGCCGCCATTGTAGTTTGAATTCCTGGAAATAAAGAAAAATAACTATGTCATTTCAGGGAAATGAAGAGCAACTGGAAACTAGAAATGTCAACCTCATGTAACCAACAGTTTCTTTTTTTTTCATAAACTTGCTTGCTACTCGATTTCTCTTCCTCTATTTCCCAATACTTCTCTCCATTCTCCGTTTTCAGTCTCACTTTCAGATGGTTCATTTTTCTTTACACAAATGTAAGTGCTTCAGGGTCTTCCTTGGCACTGGTTCTGCGTGCCCTTGCCCACTCTATTCAGTGAATTATTGCTTTGAATGCCATTTATATGTAGCCTGCAGCCTAGACCCTTCTCAGAGTTCCAAACTTTCAAATCCCATTCAACTTTTCCAGTTGGCAATTTTATGGGCATCTCACAGAGAACTCAGACAAAATGGAACCCTTGACCTCCATGCCCAGCCTGGTCCCCATTTCAGTAAATGGCACCACCAAATGGCTCATGCAGAATCTTGAGGTCATCCACAACCCTTCTTTCCTCACTTGCTCATCAGTCTGTCACCAAATCCTATTGATTTTACTTCCAAAAAATGCAAAATTCTCCATTTCTCCCCATCTCCATGAAAATCCAACCCACTGTCATTTGATTGTAATGTAATAGGCTCCCAACTGATACTGCATCTTCAATCCCTTCTCCACTCAATAATCAGACAGGCTTTTAAAACTGAAATTTGATTTTTTTTCCTTGTTTAAATTCCCTAATGGGTTCCTTTTGCTTTTTATTGTTCAAATAGTTGAAAACCCTTGGAATGGTCCAAAAGGCCCTGCATGATCAATTACTCTCTCTCTCTCTCTTTCAAAAGGCTTGAACCATACTGGCCTCCTCAATGTCCCCTGAATCCTCTAAGGTCCCTCCAGCTCCTAGACCCTTGGGGAATATTTCCCTCTCCCTGGAGCACTCCCACACCCGTCCAATGCCCAGCTCATTTCTGCTCAGCCCTGAGGCCTCAGTGTTCTGTTATTTCTCCAGAGAGGGATTCTCCATCCCCATCACCAACCAACAAGTTAGCTCTGGTGTGGAGTTCGTGCTAGCCATACTCCAAGGGTTTCTATAGAATACATACCACAATAGGAAGTTGTTCGTCTGATTTTTTTACTGTCTCCTCGTAGACTGTAAGCTTTGTGATGGTGAACCGTCTGTGTCTTGTCTGCCCCGTTATTCCCTAGGGACAAGCACAATGTTGGACAAAGCATGGATCTCAATAAGTATTTGTTAAATAAATGAATTGATTAAAACAAATCCCCCTGATTCTTGCCTTCCTCTCTGATTGAGCTTTACGTCCAGCCTAATCCAGCTTGTGAAAAAAGATTATTCTTTCCTCATTTTTTAAAAACTTAATTAATTTATTTTTTGGCTGCATTGGATCTTCATCGCTGTGCGGGGGCTTTCTCTAGTTGCGGCGAGCGGGGGCTACTCTTCATTGCAGTGCGTGGACTTCTCATTGCAGGGGCTTCGCTTGTTGCGGAGCACAGGCTCTAGGCACGTGTGCTGCGGTAGCTGTGGCACGTGGGCTCAGTAGTTGTGGCTCATGGGCTCTAGAGCTCAGGTTTTGTAGTGGTGTCACATGGGCTTAGTTGCCCCGTGGCATGTGGGATCTTCCCGGACCAATGATCGAACCTGTGTCTCCTGCATTGGCAGGCAGATGCTTAACCACTGTGCCGCCAGGGAAGTCCCCTATCCTTTCCTTATTAACACCACCTAGCATCCTTGAAACACGGTAATACGTTTTAAAGGTTTTCTTTCATTGCTACCTACTAACGTTGGGCAATGGAGAAAGCCATTTGAAGAACTCTTAGCAGATCAGATTTTAAGTAGGACAGGCTGAAATGCTAGTTGCTAAAGAAAGCCTGTCTGATAGGAAGCCAACAAATACAAATTTCAAACACTGTCAGAAAGACAGGCACTTCTTTTGAAAGTGGATTAGGAATAAGGTATAGGAAACAGCTTCTTGTAAACTGGGAGGAGAAATCACAGAATTTTAAAAAATCAGCTTTGGTCACAGAGTTGATTTTAGGAGAAGGAGTAAGATACCAGAACTAGGAAAACAAAAGGTTTGGGGTGTTTCTATTAAGAAACTATTAAGAATGGTGTTTCCATTCAGTCTGTGGACTTTCTCTTCAGCATTCTTTAATGCTGCTCTCTTTCTCCTAATTCTGATGTAAAACCAGAGGTCTGAACTTCTCTCCATACTGACACTGGATGGCTGAATTCTCCTCATACTGCCTAAGGAAGAAGCATCCATTGACCCCCAGATTCTCCTGACTGTAGATAGTAACATGGGCTGGCATTTCCCTCCTCCTATCTCCTAAAAGTTCCCCTTCCCCAACTCTGGGGGAAGCCCACGACAGGACTGTTCCTGAGGAGGAAGGTCCAAAGGGGCAGCTCTGAGCAGATCATTAACTGGGTAAGAGAGACTCTGATCCTGACCGTGTGCTGGCTTTGTGACACAGGGCTGCTGACCTGCGCCTCTTACATCTCCTAGTGCTCTTTTGACCACCAGCTCCCCACACAGCTAACTCTGTCTGCTCAGCCAACACAAACCCTGAAAGCTTCAACTTTACTTATAAATTCTGTCAATGGTGAAAACAATCATTTTTTCATACAAGTATCCTCTGAGCAGTGACTGCTAAAAGAGTTATCAATTTGTAGGGCTCAGCCTTCAAAACAGATTACTGCCTAAAATCAGCAAAGGCAGGAAGCAGGAACCAATGAGAAATATACTCTGAGAGCAAGTTTGCAGGGAGTTTTAAGATATAGATCCAGAAGAGAAGTCCCCCCTCCACCAAATCACACATTTCCCTCCCTCTCTTCCCACCCCCACAAACACCCCTATTCCCTTACCTAAAAAAGTGCTGGGTCCTGCTCCCTTCTCTAACTTTGAAAGCAATGCTAAACCAGGAGGTGACACGAAGCTATCAAGAAGCAAGAGGAGAGAGGAAGTGAGGGGAGGAGCTGTCCGAACTTGCTCATGCAAGAGACCTGCCCACCTTATCACCTAGCAGTGATAGCAGACCTGCCCACCTCATCACCTAACTTTCTGCAATGATGAGATTGTTTTGCGTGATTCAGTCTGGTAGCCCTGAGCCACATGGGCTATTGAGCTCATGAAATGTGATGAGTGTGATTGAAGAATTGAATTTTTAATTTTATTCCATTTTGATTAATTTAAAGTTACATAGTCACATCTGCCTAGTTGCTACCATATCAGACCATGCAAAGACTCTATAGGGAGGGAAGAAATATGGATCATGCCGTGAAGTTTGAGAAAAAACTACTGGGTCAAAACCAGAGAGTTGCCACTCACAGTGTGGCCAAGATGGTGGAGTAGGAAAACCCTGAGCTCACCTCTTCCTATGGGCACACCAAAATTACAGCTATTTAGAAAGCAATTATGACCTAAAAACTGGTAGAAAAGATTTCTCACAACTAAAGATATAAAGAAGGAACCACAAGGTGGATAGGAAAGGGTATAGTCAAGGCCCACACACCTAGGTAGGTGACACAGAAATGGGAAGATAATTACAATTACAAAGTTTCTCCCCAAGGAGCAAGGGGTCTGGGCCCCACTTCAGGCTCCCCAGCCCGGGGGATCCTGCACCAGAATGATGAGCCCCCAAAATATCTGACTTTTACAGCCAGAGGGGCTTGCACATGGGAGAGCAAGAAGGCTGTGGGAAACAGAGACCCCATTCTTAAAGGGCACGGACAAAATCTCCATGCTCTGAGACCCAGCATAGAGGCAGTAATTTCAAAGGATCCTGGGGCAGACTCACTGGCTGATCCTGGAGAGCCTCCCAGAGAGGCAGGAGGCAAGGAGAACTCCCCTAGTGCTGTAGACTCTGGCAGCAGATGTTTTGGGGAGTTCACTCTATGACAAGGACACCTGTCATAGAATGGAGTCTTCTCCATTCTTAGAGTCTTCCCTCTAGCCTATTCCTGCCAGGGGCTTACCTGCCCACCAGCCAATTGGCACCAGTCCCAGAGCCTCCCAAGCCAGACAGCCAGCGATGAGAGGACTCAATGCCACTCACCAGGAAACTGGCACCAGCCCTGCACACTCTGGACCCTGCAGGCAGCCACCCCAAACCTGGACCCACCCACCAGTGGGTCAGCACCAGCCCTGGAGCACCACAGGTCCCACAGCCAGCTGCACCGAATCCCAGCCCCACCCAGCAGCAGGCCAGCGGCCAGGGCACAAGCCAGGGCCCGGCAGCCAACTGGGCCAGAAAAACCTACAAAGAATACTCTACACAGCAAGGTTCTTGCTCAGATTTAATGGAGAGATCAAAGGCTTTACAGACAAGTAAAAGGTAAAAGAGTTCAGCACCAGCAAACCAGCTTTATAACAAATGTTAAAGGAACTTCTCTAGGAGAAAAAGAAAAAGCCGCCACTGGAAACCAGAAAATTACAAAACAGAAAATGCTCATTGGTAAAGGCAAACATAAAGGTGGGAAATCATCTAACACACAAAGCTAGTAGGAAGGTTAAAAGAGAAGAGCAGTAAAATAATTTATATCCACAATGAGCACTTAAGGGACACACAAAGCAATTGGATGTAAACTATGATGTCAACAACAGTAATGAGAGGAGGAGACTACAAAAGCAGGGATTTAAAAATGTGTTGTTGGGCTTCCCGGTGGCGCAGAACCTGCCGACTCCAGTGGCCAAACATCCATGGCTCAGCCTGAGGATTTTATCTGGTCCCACGCAAGGCTGCTCTGAGCACACAGGAACAGGTGGGCAGTGCTGGGAAATTAGCACCCCCAGAAGCAACCTTCAGATGATGACTGACTTGGTGTATCAATACCCCAGCTCCCTTGCCCCTCTGATGGGGGTATGTTCTACACTTTCTCCCGGAGGTGCCCACCAGGATTGAGCTCCACCTGTCGGCTGCGGTATCTTGCTTGATAATGCACTGTTATGGGTTTAAATGAATCCCCCCCGCGGACCAAAAAAAAAAAA